AGGGAATTGTCACCTGGGACGGCCGGGATGGGACCTGGGAGGGAATTGTCACCTGGGATGGCCGGGATGGGACCTGGGATGGCCGGGATGGGATCTGGGAGGGAATTGTCACCTGGGATGGCCGGGATGGGACCTAGGAGGGAATTGTCACCTGGGCCAGGCCAGGGAATTGTCACCTGGGCCAGGCCAGGGAATTGTCAGCTGGGATGGCCGGGATGGGACCTGGGAGGGAACTGTCACCTGGGCCAGGCCAGGGAATTGTCACCTGGGACGGCCAGGATGGGACCTGGGAGGGAATTGTCACCTGGGCCAGGCCAGGGAATTGTCACCTGGGACGGCCGGGAGCTGCTGGCAGAGGTTGTCCTCAGCCCTGGGAGTGTCCCCAGGGACTGGCTGGAGGCACCTGGGATGGTGGGAACGTCCCTGCCCCGGATCTTTGGGGTTTTTCCCATCCCAAGGAATTCCAGTGTCCCTGGTCCCACAGGTTCCCCATCCCTGGGAGCGCCCAACTCCACCTTGGGTCCACCTGGGCTAGCGGGAGCCGCCCCTTCCCACCACGGGATGGCTCTCAAGGTTCCTCCCCGCCCATCCCATTCCGTAATTCCATAATTCCATAACTCCGTAATTCCATAACTCCATAATTCCATAATCCCACGGGTTTTGCAGTCGTTCAAGGACGACGTGGACCTGAAGCAGGACCTGCGCTGCGACACCATCGACACCCGCGAGGAGTACGAGCTCAAGGTCCGGTCCCGCCGGGGTTTGAGGGTGGGAAAAGAGGCAGATCCCAAATTTTTCTTTTTTCCCCTGGAATGGGTGGAAAACTCCTGGGATTTCAGGCGTGGGGAGCTGGAATTGTTGGGATGGAGAGGAGATTTTGGGAACGTGCAGCTTGGATCTCCGGGATCAGGGATGAGATCGCAGGGAACAGATGGAGATGTTCCAGGGAGGAATTTGGGATGGATTTTAGGGAAAAAAGCGCGGTCGGGCTCTGGAGCAGCTCCCAGGGGAATGGGCACGGCCCCAAAAATTCCGGGAGCGTTTGGACAAGGCTCCCAAGGGACAGGGTGGGACTTTGGACTTGGATGGTCTTGGCGTGTTCCATTCCAACCTCGATATTCCGGGATTCCAAGAGATCCGGAATTCCATGAAATCCAGCCCTGCCCTAGTGCTGCCTCCCAGGAAATCCCCAAGGATTCCCAAGGAATGCCAAGGAATTCCCACCCTCCCAAGGAATTCCCACCCTCCCAAGGAATGCCAAGGAATTCCTACCCTCCCAAGGAATNCCAAGGAATTCCTACCCTCCCAAGGAATTCCCACCCTCCCAAGGAATGCCAAGGAATTCCTACCCTCCCAAGGAATTCCCACCCTCCCAAGGAATCCTAAGGAATTCCCATCCTCCCAAGGAATGCCAAGGAATTCCCACCCTCCCAAGGAATGCCAAGGAATTCCCACCCTCCCAAGGAATCCTAAGGAATTCCCACCCTCCCAGGGAATGCCGAGGAATTCCCACCTTCCCAAGGAATCCTAAGGAATTCCCACCCTCCCAAGGAATCCCAATTCCCACCCTCCCAGGGAATGCCGAGGAATTCCCACCCTCCCAAGGAATCCTAAGGAATTCCCACCCTCCCAGGGAATGCCGAGGAATTCCCACCCTCCATTCCCGCCGCCCCACGCGCCTCCACGTCCTCTCCCGAGTCCAACCCCAGAATTCCCGGATCCCGCCGGACCTTTCCCCCGTCTCCTCGCAGGACCCCACCAACGGCTACTACAACGTCCGCGCCCACGAGGAGCGGCCGGCCTCGCGCTCCGTCCTCTACGGCGACTACCGCGTGCCGGGCCCCGGCCGCTTCGAGGCGCGGCCGCCCTCGCGGCTCTCGCACTCCAGCGGCTACGCCCAGCTCAGCTCCTACCCCCGCGGCGGCCCCGAATTCCCGGCCGAGGCGGCGGCACCGGCACCGGCACCGGCACCGGGGGACACGGCCAGCCAGCTCTCCTACGAGAACTTCGCGGGCGGCGGCGGCGGCTTCGCGGGCGGCGCCGCGTTCCCGCCCTACCGGCTGGGCTTCGGCGGCGCGGCCGCGGGGCTGGAGCGCGGCGCCTACGAGCCCTTCGACGTGGCGGGCAAGTTCGGCGGCGCGGCGCGCTTCTCGTACACCTCGCAGCACTCGGACTACGGGCAGCGCTTCCAGCAGCGCATGCAGACGCACGTTTAGGGCGGGGAGGGCTCCGCGGGTACCTCACGAGCGTCCCCCTGATATTCAGGGGTTCGCCCCGATTTCCCCCCCCGGCCTCTCCTCGGAGCTTCCGTTCGTCGCCCCGGTTCTCTCGCCGGTACGTTCCCGTCCCCGCGGGCGCGGGCAGGGGTCGGCGCCGCGCTCCTCGTGCCCCTTGCGGCCCCGGCGCCGTTCCCGGAGCTTTCCCAGGGAGCAGCTCTGTGCCAGATCCAGAGGGGCGCGTGAACCCCAAAACCAGCCCCAACCCAAACCGTTCCCACTGGGATCCGTGTGTTCCCAGATCCAGAGGGGCGCGTGAGCCCCAAAACCAGCCCAACCCGAACCACTCCCACTGGGATCCGTGTGTTCCCAGATCCAGAGGGGCACGTGAACCCCAAAACCAGCCCAACCCAAACCATTCCCACTGGGATCCGTGTGTTCCCAAATCCAGAGGGGCACGTGAACCCCAGAACCAGCCCAACCCGAACCATTCCCGTTGGGATCCGTGTGTTCCCAGATCCAGAGGGGAGACACAAATCCCAAAAAAACCCAACCCGAAGCATTCCCACTGGGATCCGTGTGTTCCCAGATCCAGAGGGGCACATGAACCCCAATACCAGCCCCAACCCGAACCATTCCCGTTGGGATCCGTGTGTTCCCAGATCCAGAGGGGCACATGAACCCCAAAACCAGCCCAACCCAAACCATTCCCACTGGGATCTGCGTGTTCCCAAATCCAGAGGGGCACATGAACCCCAAAACCAGCCCAACCCGAACCATTCCCGTTGGGATCCGTGTGTTCCCAGATCCAGAGGGGAGACACAAATCCCAAAAAAACCCATCTTGAACCATTCCCACTGGGATCCGTGTGTTCCCAGATCCAGAGGGGCACGTGAACCCCAAAACCAGCCCAACCCGAACCATTCCCACTGGGATCCGTGTGTTCCCAGATCCAGAGGGGCACACCAATTCCAAAAAAACCCATCCCGCACCATTCCCGTTGGGATCCGTGTGTTCCCAGATCCAGAGGGGAGACACAAATCCCAAAAAAACCCATCTTGAACCATTCCCGTTGGGATCCGTGTGTTCCCAAATCCAAAGGGGCACGCCAATCCCAAAAACGGCCCCATCCCGAACCATTCCAATTCCTCAAACCATTCCCCAAACCATTCCCGTTGGGATCTGCGTGTTCCCAAATCCAGAGGGGCACACCAATCCCAGAACCAGTTCCATCCCGAACCATTCCCGTTGGGATCCGTGTGTTCCCAGATCCAGAGGGGCGCGTGAACCCCAAACCCAGCCCCATCCCGAACCATTCCCGTTGGGATCCACGTGTTCCCAGATCCACAGGGGAGACACAAATCCCAAAAAAACCCATCTCAAATCATTCCCATTCCTCAAAGCATTCCCACTGGGATCAGCATGCTCCCAAATCCAGAGGGATGTGCAAATCCCAGAACCAGCCCCATCCCAAACCATTCCCATTGGGATCCGTGTGTTCCCAAATCCAGAGGGATGTGCNATCCCAGAACCAGCCCCATCCCAAACCATTCCCATTGGGATCCGTGTGTTCCCAAATCCAGAGGGATGTGCAAATCCCAGAACCAGCCCCATCCCGAACCATTCCCACTGGGATCCGTGTGTTCCCAGATCCAGAGGGGCACACCAATTCCAAAAAAACCCAACCCGAACCATTCCCGTTGGGATCCGTGTGTTCCCAAATCCAGAGGGATGTGCAAATCCCAGAACCAGCCCCATCCCAAACCATTCCCGTTGGGATCCACGCGTTCCCAAATCCCGAGGGATGCTCCAATCCCAGATCCAGCCGCCTCCCGCACCATTCCCATTGGGATCCGTGTGTTCCCAGATCCACAGGGGAGACACAAATCCCAAAAAATCCCAACCCGAACCATTCCCATTGGGACCCGTGCATTCCCAAATCCCGAGGGATGCGCCAATCCCAGAACCAGCCGCATCCCGAACCATTCCCATTGGGATCCGTGTGTTCCCAAATCCAGAGGGGCACACCAATCCCCAAAAAACCCATCCCGCACCATTCCCATTCCCTGTGCCTTGATTTTGGGGCCGCCCCTGGCTCAGGGCCGGCTCCCCCCGTTTCCCCTCGGCGCCGGGAATTTGGGGTTTTCGGGAGCCGCCCCGCACGCACAGCGATCCCCCGGGAGAGGCAGCGCGGGATCCCAGAGCTGGGATCGGGGTCCCCCCTGAACCCCCGCGTTCCCGGGAATTCCGGGAATTCCGACCGAAACTTTGGGATCGGGAGCTCGGCCCTGCCCCGAATCCCAGTTCCGGGCACCGGGGGGAACCGGGGACCCCAGCGTGGCGTGGGGGAATTTGGGGGATGAGTTTTGGAGGGAATTCCCAGCCCCAATTCCCAAATTCCCAAAGGGGTCCCAGTTTGGGATGGGGGAATTTTTGGGGGATGAATTTTTGGGGGAATTCCCAGAGGATTCCCAGCCCCAATTCGGCATGGGGGAATCTGGGGAGGAACAATTTTGGGGGGATGAATTTTGGAGGGAATTCCCAGCCCCAATTCCCAAATTCCTGAAGGGGTCCCAATTCGGGATGGGGGAATTTGGGGAGGATGAGTTTTGGGGGGATGAATTCCTGGCTGATTCCCAAAAACCCCTCAAGGATTTGGTACGAGACCCCTGCCCACCCCTCCGGGGGCTGCCTCGGGATCAGGATCTTCCCCAAAATCCCCCAAATCCCCAAATTCCCGAATTCCCAGTGGCCAATCCCGGTACGAGCCGTGGGATCTCATTTCCCTCTGCCGAAACTCCCCAAAACCAACACAGAAGGTCCCGAAAGGCCCAAAGGTGCCTGAATTCACCCCAAAAGCCCCGAGGGGGGAGGGAATTCCCGCTCCAGGTGCTGCACCCCAAATTCCAGAGCAATATCCCGCGGGAAAAGGGGGAGCCCCGCCCGGCCACGGGAAGCTTTAACATTCCAACCCCACTTTGGGGCTGGAAAATGGAATTTCCCCCTTTTGTTTTTTAGCACAGGTTGGTTTAGAGACCCTCCCCCGTCCCTTTCCCCCCAAAATTCCGCCATTTCTCCCCGATTTTTTTTTTTTTATGTTGCATTTTCCTTTTTTGTTTTTTTAAATATTCTGTACTATATTTTTAGTCTTAAACATGATATATTATATATATTTAATTTTTTTATATATATATATATAAATATAAATGGTTAAAAAAAAGAAATTAAAGCAGCTCAGAGTTTTCCTTTTAACTTTTTGGGGGATTTTTACCTAAAGAAGGGGGATTTTTGTCATCCCTCGATAGTTTTTCTGGGAGAATTGAGGAACGGATGGAGGGAGGGAGGAATATTTTCCTTTTCCATCCGTAATTCCCACAATTCCAGCATTCCCAAATCCCTGGAGGGATTTTGGTGGCAACCACATTTCCAAACAAACAGATTTCCATTTATTCCAGGGATTTATCTGATTTATTCCTGCCTTTATCCCGATTTATTCCCCGGGAATTTTCACCACAAATCCCTCGCCTCATCCTTCCTTGCGCTTCCTTTTATACAAAAACGGTTTTAATCCAAAAATTAAATCGGGATTCCCTCACGGAATCCGGAATTTGGCTTAAGAAGCAAAATTCCCTTTTTTTTTTCCCCCCCCATCCCGCTGGAATTTCACCTTCCAGCCCTTCCATTCCCCGCCTTGGAGACAAATTCATTAATTTTATTGGAATCCTCCTCCAGCCGGGAGCTGCTGGAAGGGGACAAGGAGGAATCGGGCGGGATTTGTCCCGGATTTCATCGAAAGAATGGAAAAGCGGGATCCACCGTGCCTCAGTTTCCCCCGGCCAGCGACCCCCGAGGCGGGGCACGGCGGGACAGGGGCACAGCGGGGTGGCTCCGAGGAGGAATTCCCGAATTCCTGGAGCGAATTCCCGAATTCCCGGAGCGAATTCCCGGGATTTGGCCGCCATGAGGGGCCTGCCCGGCCCCGCAGCGCAGCACCGCCCCCCCCCCGCGCCCGCCCCCGGCTGGGCGGGCTCTGAGCGCCGCGGCCTCAGGCGGGGCTATTTATAACCTCGGCGACCCCGCGGATCTCGCGAGATTTCCCGGCCCGCCGGCGCGTCGTGGGCGTGGCTCCGCCCCCGTGACGTCATCGGGGGTTTGGGGTCCCGAGGGGATTTGGGGACCCCGGGAGGGGCCGGGGGTGACAAAAAACCCAAAAAAACACCAAAAATTCCCTTTTTGTCCCCCTTGGGACCCCCGCGTGCGGCCCCGGCAGCGCCGCGGCCTCGGGGAGCGGCCCCGGGGGGGTTTGGGGGTCCCCCCAAATTCTGGGGGTTTGGGGGTGTCCCCCCCTTCCCGGGGTTTGGGGGCCACTCCTGGTCCCGGGTTCCAAAACCTAAATTTGGGGTCCCCATCCCGAAATATGGGGTCCCCCATTCTTGGATTTGGGGTTCCCGCTCTTGGATTTGGGATCCCCATCCCTAAATTTGGGGTCCCCGTTCCCTGGGTTTGGGATTCCCAAACTCTGGATTTGGGTCCCAAACCCTCGATTTGGGTTCCCTAAAAATCCCTTAGAATTCCTGAAAACACCTGAAAATTCCTGAAAATCCCTGAAAATTCCTGAAAATCCCTGAAAGTCCCTGAAAGTTCCCAAAAATCCCTTAGAATCCCTGAAAATTCCCTAAAACCCCTTGGAATTCCTGAAAACACCTGAAAATTCCCTAAAATCCCTGAAAACTCCTGAAAATTCCCTAAAATCCCTGAAAAATCCCTAAAAGCCCTTAGAATTCCTGAAAACACCTGAGAATTCCCTAAAATCCCTGAAAATTCCCTAAAATACCTGAAAACTCCTGAAAATTCCCTAAAATCCCTTAGAATTCCTGAAAACACCTGAGAATTCCCTAAAATCCCTGAAAATTCCCTAAAATACCTGGAAACTCTTGAAATTTCCCTAAAATCCTTTAGAATTCCTGAAAATTCCTTGAAATCCCTGAAAACTCCTGAAAATCCCTTAAAATTTCCTGAAATTCTTTTAAATGCCTCCGAATTCCATAAAATCCCCTAAAATCCCTTAGAACTCCTGAAAATCCCTGAAAATCCCTGAAAATCCCTGAAAATCCCTGAAAATCCCCTCATTTCCACATGACCGGGTCGCCCACCGGCGTGATCCAAGGAAACGGGGCTGGAAAAAATCGGGAATTCCTCAAAATTCCTCAGAATTCCTCAAAATTCCTCAAAATTTCTCAGAATTCCTCAAAATTCCTCAAAATTTCTCAAAATTCCTCAGAATTCCAGCTGGGAGCATCCCGGGCCGCCGGGACTCTCCCTGCCCATGGAATTGCGGCTCCTTCCAACCCAAATTATTCCAGCATTCCCTAAAAATCCAGGATACTCCTGGCCCTGGGAGGGAACTTTTCCCTGGATCCTTTTCTGGTTTCCCTGTTTTTTTCCGGCTCTGATCCAATAAAATCCCAAAGAATTCCCAATTTCCTGCGTCCTTCCACCTCAGGATCCCTGCAAATTTTTTGGGAAAAATTTCAATTTTCCTTCCAGGAATTCTCCGCATCCCGAATTTCCCAGGCTGGGTTTGGCTCCAAACCCTTCCCTTTAATTCCAGAGGTTTTATTCCCCCTTCATTAACCGTTAATTGCTGTTAATTAACCCGCTCATTAAGGCAGGACCCCTCGGGCCCGTTTTCCCGGAGATTTTTCCCGTTTTCCCGGAGTTTTTTTTGGGATGAGAAGTGGAAAAGGGGAATCCCGCAGGGATTGGGGCACCCAAAGGCGCCAAAAATCGACTTTTTGGCAGCCCTGGATGCTCCCGTGGGAATTCCTCAAAAAAAAATCCGGGAAAAAAGGAAAAAGACGGATGGGATTAACCCCTTGGGTGCCAAGCCCGCGATTCCCTATTTTCCATTCCCGCTGGGAATTCCAGCCTGGATAAATGGGATTCCCAAATCCCCCACCGGGAATTCTACCCAGGATAAATGGGATTCCCAAATCCCCCACCGGGAATTCCAGGCAGGATCAATGGGATTCCCAAGCCCATTCCCTATTTTCCATTCCCAGCGGGAATTCCAGGCGGGACAAACGGGATTCCCAAACCCATTCCCTATTTTCCATTCCCACCGGGAATTCCAGGCAGGATCAATGGGATTCCCTAACCCATTCCCTATTTTCCATTCCCACCGGGAATTCCAGGCAGGATCAATAGGATTCCCAAAACCATTCCCTATTTTCCAGTCCCACCGGGAATTCCAGCGGGGACAAACGGGATTCCCAAGCCCATTCCCTATTTTCCATTCCCACCGGGAATTCCAGCGGGGACAAACGGGATTCCCAAGCCCATTCCCTATTTTCCAGCCCCACCGGGAATTCCAGGCGGGACAAACGGGATTCCCAAACCCATTCCCTATTTTCCAGTCCCACCGGGAATTCCAGCCGGGACAAACGGGATTCCGAAACCCATTCCCTATTTTCCATTCCCAGCGGGAATTCCAGCGGGGACAAACGGTATTCCCAAACCCATTCCCTATTTTCCAGTCCCACCGGGAATTCCAGGCGGGACAAACGGGATTCCCAGACCCATTCCCTATTTTCCAGTCCCACGGGGAATTCCAGCCGGGACAAACGGGATTCCCAAATCCGGCTTCCAGGCAGTATCAATGGGATTCCCAAGCCCATTCCCTATCTTCCCTCCCCACCGGGAATTCCAGGCAGGATAAATGGGATTCCCAAATCCCCCACCGGGAATTCCAGCGGGGACAAACGGGATTCCCAAACCCATTCCCTGTCTTCCCTCCCCACCGGGAATTCCAGCCGGGACAAACGGGATTCCCAAATCCGGCTTCCAGGCAGTATCAATGGGATTCCCAAACCCATTCCCTATTTTCCAGCCCCACCGGGAATTCCAGCGGGGACAAACGGGATTCCCAAATCCCGGCTGGCCGCGCTCCCCGCGCATTCCCGGCTGGAAAAGCGGCAGCAGGGAGGGAGGGAGGGGGGCAGGGATGGATTCCGGCTTCTCTCCCCCCAAACCTCCCGCGGCCCCGGGGGGCTCTGGAGCCGCGGGAATCCGGGAATCGGGAATCGGGAATCGGGAATCCGGGAATCTCCGCGGGCCGTGCCCGGCGCGGCCGCCGCTGATCCGGGCTCCGCTCCGGGCGGGGTCGGGGGTCAGCGCGCTCCGCCCGCCCGCGAGCCCGGATTTTCTTCCCCATTCCCGGATTTTCCCCCTCATTCCCGGATTTTTCCCCCCTTCCCATCGTTATCCCCCCCCCCATTCCCGGTTTTTTCCGCCCTCCGTTCCCGTTTTTCCCCCCCCGTTCCCGGGTTTCCCCATGGGGAGCCGCTCGCTCTGAGCCCCGCGATGCTCCGCGCCCCGGGGTGGTCGCTCCTCCTTCCTCCTCCTCCTCCTCCTCCTCCTCCTCCTCCTCCTCCTCGCCGCTCCGGCCGCTGATTCCCGCTCCGAGCCGAGCCGAGCCGAGCCGAGCCGAGCCGAGCCGAGCCGAGCCGAGCCCAGCGAGCAGCCGGGATGGGGCGGGAGCGGCGGGGCCGAGCGCGGCTGCCCCCGCTGCTCCTGGCGCTGCTGGGGCTCGGCCCAGGTGAGTGCGGGGAGCCCCGATCCCGGGAAACCTCTGGAATTCCTCCCGCCGGGCTCTGCCCGCCCCTCCCGACGCGGATTTTGGGGGGGTTTCATTGGATTTGGGGGGCGCTGCGATTTTTTTTTCTCCCCTCGCCCGGGGTTGCGAAGCGGCTCCTTACGTAAAGCCCGGGAGCGAGGGATCCCCTCCCGGAATTCCCAAGCATTCCTGAATTCCCGCAAATCCCCTCCGGCGGGATTCCTGCGGGCAAAGCGTCCCGCCGGCCGGGCAGGTTAATTAAGGGTTCATTAGCCTCGGCGATTAATCGGCCTCGCGGGGCCGGGCGCCGATGCTGCCGCCAGGTGATGCCCCCAAATCAGGCCGGGAGAAGTGGGAAAAGCGCGAATTCCCGGGATTTGGAGCGCCGGGATCGCAGCCCGGAGCGTGGGAAGCGAGGAAAAGCAGAACCCGGCCGGGGGGGACGAGGCGCGGGGCTGAGAGCGAGGCTGGAGTTGGGAATTTGGGAATGCGGGGCGCTCTGGGAGGCAGCGGGAGCAGGGATGGATCCCGCTGCTCCTCCTCCCTCCTCCCCGTGCTCCCAAAAACCATCAAAATCTGGGATAAACAGCCTGAGCGGGGAGGCGCTTGCAGCGGGAGGGGCCCGGACCCCCCCGGCCGCTTTTCCCGGCCTGGGAAAGGGGAAAATCCCGGGAAAGGCTCCGGGAGCGCCGGAGACGATCCCCGAGGGGGAGCGAGGGCGCCGATTTTGGAATTGCGGGGGGATTTGGGGATTTTGGGAAGCCCCTCCCCAGCCCCTCCCCGCTCTCAGCATCCCCCCCCCCGGGGTCGGGGGGTGCTTCACCCCCAAAAAACTTCACCGAGCGCCGAAAAATCCCCTCAGATCTAAGGTGGAAAAGCGGGAATCAAACCCTGGAAAAGCAGGAGTGAAAGCCGGGAAAAGCAGGGATAAAAGCGGGATGAGCAGGGATCGATCCCGGGGTGAGCAGGACTCAAATCCCGGAGAAGTGGGAATGAAAGCCGGGAAAAACGGGAATCAAAGCCAGGATGAGCGGGAATGAAACCTGGGAAAAGCGGGAATGAAACCTGGGAAAAAGCAGGAATCAAACCAGGGAAAAGCGGGAATGAAACCTGGGAAAAGTGGTAATGAAACCCGGGATAAGCAGGAATCCAATTCTGGAAAAGCAGGGATCAAACCAGGGAAAAGTGGGAATGAAACCTGGGATAAGCAGGAATCCAATCCTGGAAAAGCAGGGATCAAACTCAGGAAAAGCAAACCTCAAGCCAGGGAAAAGCGGGAATGAAACCTGGGAAAAGCAGGAATGAAACCTGGGAAAAGCAGGAATCAAACCTGGGAAAACCGGGAATGGAGCCCGGGAAAAGCGGGAATTAAAC